TAACTTATCATTATTATGACTTTTAGCTCTTTTTGAGAGCTTTTCAGAGCTTTTTGAACATTTTTTGAGTTAAGAATATTATTTTTCTCCAAAAAAATGTGATTTCCATTACWTAATATTATAATAAAAAAGACTCGAATATTTTCTTAAAACTTTATGCGTTAACCTAAAAAAATACTTTAGCTTTTATTTCAGTTAAATGATCGWATTTAAGTTTAAGTAATTTTTTTTTATAGTTCAAATTAAAAAAATTTATCGATTATTGCAAAAAACGGTCAATTTTTCTCCATATATATAAGCTCCAACATAAGCTTAAACTTATTGTACTTTTATTCAAACAACGATTATTTCAATCAAACGATAAAATTCTACCATTCCTATATAAAAGCTTATACATATACGGATATAACATATTCTGACAAAGCTCTAAATGTAGTACTGCTCACTACTACTTTAGAAATGGGATTATTTAAACCAGAATTAGATGAACCAAAAGTTACACACTTCAAATTCACTGCAAATAATTTGCACATATTGTGCAGGGTATAAGGAAATTCACGTCAATTCATTGTCATAAAATTATGAGTATATTCCGTTAGCTTGCTCGTGTATTCATTTATTCGTTTGTTTTTCACTTAGCTACATTGCGGTCTCCTTTAATATCCCAAATTAACAATGGCAAGCGAAGGCACAATGCTCGTTTGCAAAGACATCAACAGCGCACTTGATTCACATTCATATTTTGTGCACAACAAAAACACTCACACACACATRCATACGTATATAGAGGCATACAAATGCATTTGATGTTCTTGCTTGGGCATTATAAAACACAAATTTCACTCTAATGAATGAAGTTATTTATAAATTTTGTAAGCAGAGCAGGCAAACGCTGACACACACACACACACACACACACACACACACACACTAACAAACACATTTGAACTTTTATGAAGAGTTTTTCACAGCGGAAGTTTAATTTTAGCGACGACTTCACGTTTCATAAATAGCAAAACAAAGAAAGGAAAGGAAAGGAGTTCGAGGCATACGTTCTACATATGTATGTCATTGTGTATAATTGTGTGTTTATCCAAGCGAGATTTCCGGTACAAGTACTAAATACTCTTCTAATGTGCATAAATGCGTTAAGTTATAAATATGATGCCGGTGGTCGGTCGATGGCCTAAGTCAAGCCAGTGTGATACGCTTTTAGGGTGGCAGCGCGCACAGAACAATTGTTGACACAGGTCACAACAACARTACATACACATATGKATATGTGTATAAGCGTTTATACGCATTCACTATTGCTCAGCGCTTTATTGTAACATCAAAGGAAAGTGGCAAAATAGCAAAACTTTGTAGTTGCGCTATCTATTGCACGCTTTTTCAGCTACTAAATTTTCTAATACAAAAAGAACAACAATGCGAGTCATTAACGTTGTAACACTCGTTAATTAACTGCCACCTCTAGTCCGCAGTTATTCCATTAACCCGTCACACTTCAATTGCTGTTGTTGTTGTTATTGTTTTTTGCGGCTTTATGCCTCCAATTGAGTGTATAATCACAAAGTAGAATGCGAAAGTGCGAAAATAGRCAGCAAACACTAATTAATTGGACGACGTATACATAAGTGTTGTGGGAGAATGAAAAAAAGAACCGCAAAATACAAATTCTAAAATAAATCGAAATAAGAGCTAAATAAAAATAATATTTAAAAAGAAAAAATTTACGAAAACTATAAAATTAGAATAAACCGAAAGACACATCAAAAAAGTTTTTAAATGTAAAATAATAAATATTTATGATATATAAAGATAAAAAATTAAAAAAAATTTGAACATAAGAAAATTTAAAAAATATCCAAAAATTTATAAAATAAATTCA